TCAGCCTTCCAGAATCAGTTACACATCTCCAACACCTATTAATATTTAATTCCCCACATTCCCCTCTCCTTTAGATATTCATAATTGATATATGTATAAGTTTACGTCGGTTAATGCAGCAGCTATGAATAGTTTATGGTAGCGGCCAGTCACGGGGAATTGAGAAAATGGTCACCATTATATATATGATGTTTAGGCCAGAATTTCCTTAACACTTACGGTATTGCCAGCCTTAATCACAGCATAGTTACGCTTATTGTTACGTATGCATTTATAACATGAGTTTACATAATTACTCTACATTTACCTTTAATATTGTAATAAACAAAGCTTGTCCATCCATTGTATATTAGTCAGGTTTTGTGTAACATTTTCCGGAGCACATGAGGAGTTGAAGACGAAATGCTTCCCTGAAAGTCTTTAAGCTCGTCGTTGCTGTTATAACATTTTGTAGGCCAACACGTCTTCCTTGGTGAAACCCCATAAGGCATAATCACATGTACTGTGCTTCTTGGAGGTCATTACAGTGAAGCAACAACACGCCCTCGGTACTGTGCTTCTTGGAGGTCATTACAGTGAAGCAACAACACGCCCTCGGTACTGTGCTTCTTGGAGGTCATTACAGTGAAGCAACAACACGCCCTCGGTACTGTGCTTCTTGGAGGTCATTACAGTGAAACAACAACACGCCCTCGGTACTGTTACGTAAAGGCTTTTGTTCACACGTTCTTGAACTGACGTGGTAAAGTGAGGTTGAAGTCTGCTGAAACTAGACTTCATTTACAATACCGTAGTTAGTATGGCAGCATAGTCTAGCCCCGCTGGCATTCATTAACAGGACCATCAAAATCTGTGGTCACAGGACTTTTTTTTTTATTCACACGAGCCTATATTATAAAATGGGGTGGCTTCTGGTGCAAATCCTCCACGAAATTAATTTTCTTTCTTTAGTCCAAGAACATAACAGGTTTGACTCGAGCCATCCTGTGTACTGTTCACTTATCACTTAGAAACAAAAAATCGTTTCGGTATTTCGTAAGATACATGAAGTAGTTCCTCACATGCATTTCGTCTGTGATCCGAAGCAGTGTTATTCAGCCTTTGAAACGCCAAATCTAAACCCATGTCCTTGTACAGTGCTGGTTGTGTTATTTTATATTGTGGTAATCGCTACAACTGGATTTTGTGTGTGATTTTAACCCATTTTTTTTTAACCTCTGCACCTTATGAATTGATTAATTTTTCATCGCAACAGATTCCTTTTTTGGGGTATAGGGTTGGGGGGAGGGGAGGAGGGAGCAGCTCGGTTGACTCGGCCCTCACAAGGTCGTTCACGGATCCAGATATGGCTAATATGTTCTTCAATCTTCTAGTCGTTGTTAACTTAACTTTACCTAACCTAATCTAACCTAACTTAACCTTACTAAATCGTCTTAGTGATGGTAAAAATAGCATAAAACAGCCAGTCAGTCGTTCAGATGGGAATCGTCCAAGTGGGATGACATCACTTGGCAAACTGATCGCGGGATGAAGAGGTTTTAGTTTCCTCATCACTGAAATGTAGTATTAAATTTCTTGGTTGATTTATTTTCTTCGTTCAATGTGATATGTTAATATGCATTTTGATGTTCTTAAAAACCGATTATTTAGACGACAGTTTTCATTAATGTGAAGATAGAAAGCTCAGGATAATTTTACTAGGTTACGAACTATAATACGACGCCTTTAAGTGACGAAATTAATAGTGTCTCTAAATTTGACTAAGATTGAGTTAAGAAGTTTTCCATTTTCGCGTAAGAACATGAGAATGGAGGAAACTACACCCAACCCCTATCGCTCATATACCCATCCAACCTAAGTTTGAAGCTATCCAGCGTGTTCGAGTTAATGATGATGTTTGGTAACTTGTTCCACTCATCCACTACTCTATTTCTAAACCAATGTTTACGTATCTCGCTCCTAAATCTAAATATGCCCAATTTAAAACCATTGTTATGAGTTCGCTCCTGGTTGGATAGTTTGAGTAAATTTGTTATGTCACCTTTGTTTTGGCCTGACTTACATTTATACACCTCAATCATATCGCCCCCTCACTCTACGTCTCTCGAAGGAATGCAGATTAAGATTATTTAACCTGTCTCTGTACTCAAGGTTCCTAATGCCCGGGATTATTCTTGTTATTCTCATCTGAATTCTTTCTCGGGATTCTATATCCATTATGTAGTGTCAGTAAGTGTAAGTTAAATTGGTCAAGTCAGCGGTAAGTATATGTGATGACTCAGTTCAAATACAATACATAGATATCAGTGAACAGGCTGGAGCAACGTGGCCCCAATAAGGGAAGGGAAGCGTAGTAAAAACCCTCGTCTTAACTCACCAACAAAGACCGCCTTTGTTGTGCCACGTGCCGTCCAGCCACCTCAGGGTGTTCATCGCGTTAGCTTACTTAAGGGAGGTGAAAAGGAGAGAGGGTGGGAGGGAGAGGGGAAGATCTACATTCTGTACAGTTGTTATTGTGGTGGTGTTGGTGACGTTACTGTTACTCTGTGTTGGTGACGTTACTGCTACTCTGTGTTGGTGACGTTACTGCTACTCTGTGTTGGTGACGTTACTGCTACTCTGTGTTGGTGACGTTACTGCTACTCTGTGTTGGTGACGTTACTGCTACTCTGTGTTGGTGACGTTACTGCTACTCTGTGTTGGTGACGTTACTGCTACTCTGTGTTGGTGACGTTACTGCTACTCTGTGTTGGTGACGTTACTGCTACTCTGTGTTGGTGACGTTACTGCTACTCTGTGTTGGTGACGTTACTGCTACTCTGTGTTACGTTACTGTTTGTGTTGTGACGACAATGGTTTGGTGACGTTACTGCTACTCTGTGTTGGTGACGTTACTGCATACGTTCTAGGGGTTGTCGGAGCCCTGTGAATTCGAGGTGAGTCTCCCTCTTTACCCCTTTAAAACGTGGTTGCACTTAACTTAAATGGAATACCAAATTTAAAGGAATGATGCCCCGTAAATATAATTCTTAAACTATAGCAACTTGGAACTGAGTTACGCCGTTAAATGTAATATATGCCATCCATTTGTGCTGTAACGAACTTTAAAGTATAACATGAATTAGCTCGTAGATGTAATGATAGACCTCTAATGAATCTAACCGACCATTATTTATATACCTGTACTGTGTATATCATTAAGGTATAATATGGCCTCCATGGTGTATATACTGTACGTGCTGAACCCAAGGCGCATTTTATATCAAAAGATCAAAATATCAGTTATTACATACCAATGATGGGGACAAAATATTGATACTTTAGTTACCCAGCAACACAATTCCATTTTCTTTGGCTCTTTGGTCAGATTGCAGGGAGGACTTAAGTTAAAGTTGTATGCATGATTATTATTATTATTATCATTATTATTATTATTATTATTATTATTATTATTATTATTATTATTATTATTATTATTATTATTATTATTATACGCACATGCATAATTATAGGCAGTACAGTGATACAAACAGCGGTAAACCGTAAGCCATTCTAATTCTCGTGAAAATCAAGAACCCAACTTTATTTCACATGATGATTGAACGCCCTAATGCCAACCTAACCTAACTTAAACCCTGCACCCATTATTAATCATCAGGTGAAATAAACGGGAGGTTCCATATCGTCATGAAACTCACCTGTATCAATTCGTCAAAGCGTAGTGTAGTGCAAGTTTCTTCGGCTTACTAGCTGTTGGTTATATTGATGTATATATATTTTTATTTTATCATTGGTCGCGTAGCTGTGTTATCTACCTGCATATTTACCTGTATGGAGACTTAGTGAATAAATATCTGTCCTTGTACTGTCTACCTGCCTATCTCTATCGCATATCTAGCTATAACCATTATCTATGTAATATATATACTTCTAGCTATATATCTGTCTGTATTTTTATCTTATCTCTCTTTCATATATATCTATCTTAACCATTATTTATTTATCTATCTTATATAATTTCTATAATCTCAATGTCCTCTCAGTTCCATTTTCTGGTTCACCGTCGCAGTAGAGAGAGAGAGAGAGCATGTCACTTATTCTCAGAGTCAGATGTTAAACTTTTTTCACCCTAAAGCTGGTGTTTGTATGGCTTCGACAACTACATAGTTTTCAGTGTTGCTCCTAAGAAATGATTCATTGTTGTGGGAGGCGGTGAGAAAGACGTTCATTCCGTGTTTATTTTTTTTTTTATGGCTGTTAAGTGTTTTGAGTTATATTGACGTACTGAAAGATCTTAGTAGTTGAAGCACGTAGTAATAGATTATGTAAACAGCAAGGCTAAGGCGGTATGGGCAGGAAAATATGTATGTGGTTAGGTTAGGTTAGTTTAGTTCATAAACTGTAAACTAAAAATAAAGAAAATAAATTGTATATAAAAATTCTTATTATTTGTGCTAGGGGGCTTTTGTCTTCGGGGGCTTTTGTCCGAGGGGGGTTTTGTCCGAGGGGGCTTTTGTCTGGGGTGTTTTGTCTTACGTTATAATTCTACGTGTACAAGATATTTTTGACCATAAAGACAGAAACATGGCCAACATTTTCGAAAGAGGAGTGCATAAAGGCGAACTGTGTTGTAACTCCTCCCTGGTGATGGAGTAGGAGCCATACTGTCTGGTATACAAGACATAACTTACGTAACAGGTAGGTAGTAAGGTGGTGGTGGTGGTGGTTACTCTCCCTGGAGGCCGGTGGTATGATGGTGACTCAAACTCTATACTGGTTGTCATATGATCCTTCCCTCCCCATTGTTCGCTGAGGCCTGTCTTGTATCGTTCTGTCTTGGTATTATGTTGGCCTTCGTCATTCCTCTTCGGTGTTCTCACTAGGAGCTCTTCACTGGGGTATGGTTACTGTCTTCTGAAAGGTTGTATTGGGGTTTCTTATTAGATTTTAATTTTTTTCAATTTGTAGTTTTGGAAAGATAAGGTCTTACGTCAGTTTGCCCTTTGAAGATTGTTTTTGTTTTGACCTGGAAATAAAAATAAAACACGTTCAGAAAATCTCGTGGAAAGTGAGAATCGTGTGAACATAACCTGGAAAGGGTGAAGTCCTCAAGTCAGTCAGACCAGAGGGGTGAGCATATTGTATTCTCTGGGACCGAGCCAGCAACAACAACAGCGGCGGTGCAAGTATAACAGTAACACCTCGTGATCACTGGAAACTGGAGTGATGTATGGTAGTGATGAAGGGCACTCCAGTTATACGGCTTTCACCACCCGCCTTCACCCTCAACAGATAAACACCGTGTAGGAAGTGCGTCGTCGCGGAGCTTGTGACACACGAGAGAGTCTTCCTGCATCTAGTGACTCGAAAAGTGATACCGGGACATCGTTGACACAGACCGAAGTTATTACGATTTATTCAGTGTGAGGTATAAGCTACATGGTAACTGTGTGAGAGAGAGACACACGCCTTGCCTGTGTGTGGTTGGGGATCGAGGTTACCACACACCTTTCACCAACCACGAAAATTTGCTCCGGTTTAATACGTCTCTCGGTCTCTACTACAGAGGACAGTTAACTACGGTTACCAAGAGACTGTTGTAACTTTTAAAAGGAACTACAGAGAGACAAATGTGCTAAGGAAATCCAGTAGAGGAGGACAATGAAGACCGAGACTGTCGGTGGTAGGTGAGGAGGATGGTAAGTCCGGAGACCTGGCCGGTGTTGTACCTCGCCTACCTGAGGTCCCCTCTAGTCGACCCGCTCAGTGTTTCGGCCACGTTGCGGGACTCCACAAGGTGTCCTATAGAAACCGCCGACGTCACCAAGAGGGCCGGGGGAGTGTCGTCCTGGTCCCGCGAGTGTGAGACCTGCGGCGTGCCACTCAGATTGTTCAAAAAGTATATTACGCTACGGCTGCCAGGGGAGATGACCGCCCACCTGTGCATCACCACCTACAAGAGCCCCGAGAACGAGGTGCTCAAGTTGGAGGTAGGTGACGAGGAGGACCGTGGAGGACCTTTTGCGAGGTGCCACAGAAGTAGACAAAAGTAGATGACGTCTCGCTTCAGTAGTGTAAAGTAGATGACGCTTCACTTCAGTAGAGTGCAGTAGATGGACGTCTCATCTCAGTAGAGTGCGGTAGGTGACGTCTCATCTCAGTAGAGTGCTGTAGATGATGCCTCATAGTACTGTCAATGTCTTTTGTGTTGGTAAGCAGGTGACGCTAGACATGTTAGTCTCACCAAAGGTCCTGCAGCATCTGGTTCAATGGTCGTGATGGATTCTTGATCAAATCGTCGGTGGTGACGTTCCACTGTACACTTAGTCTAAGAGATGAATTTATTAGTTATAAAACCAGATAACCAGTATTGTTGTTGTTGTTGTTATTTACTCATTGAGTCATTCAAGGTATTTTATTCCCAGTGGAGAACTTTATACAAGGTGTAACAAGTGATGCAGAACTTTCCTCTGTTCTTTCGAGGGTTATTTTGGTGTTCGTTCCATAACACTCCGTAGTTTAGAGAAATTCGAGTTTAATTTTGATTGGGACGTTTCTTATACTGTATAGCCAGTTCCTGTTTGGGATTGGGAGACATGTTGCTGTCATAGATGATTGTAGACATTAGACATTTCTTATGGTCGTGGGGGGGGGGGTGCATTTGTTTTTTCCTATGTCTTAAATGCTTAATATCTGACTACCGAGCTTTAACAATTAGATCAGTATAGAGAAATACATCCCTAGTTTATTTTTTTTAGCTTTATTATGTTTCCCGTGTGTGTGAAGGTGACTATACCAGGTAACATTGCTAACTAATTAGTAACATGAAGATGGTGTTGTTGATGGTGAGGGATAATGAAGAGAGCGCTTATTACACTAGTGTTTGATAGTGTGTGTGTGTGTGTGTGTATGCAATAATAATAATAATAAACGGTTTATTAATAGAGTTGCAGCCAGTGTGTGTGTGTGTGTTAGGCTGCAGGGAGGCAAACAATATTATTTCATTAAGTTATCTTTATTAGAATGATAATTATGATATTAACACAGACAGGCTCTTGGATAACGACACATACACACTTTTATAACATTTAAGGTTAGGTTAGGTTAAGAGTAAGACCAGGTTAAGGTTAGGTTAGGTTAAGAGTAAGACCAGGTTAAGGTTAGGTTAGGTTAAGAGTAAGACCAGGTTAAGGTTAGGTTATGTTAAGAGTAAGACCAGGTTAAGGTTAGGTTAGGTTAAGAGTAAGACCAGGTTAAGGTTTGGTTAGGTTAGGTCAGGTTAAGAGTAAGACCAGGTTAAGGTTAAGTTTGGTTAGGTTAGTTTAAGCTCCCAGTCTTAATAGAAACCAGTAATATTCCTGATAAGATTTTACCTGTCCATAGACCCTCGAGACAAAGACTTGAGTCGTATTAACAGTCCCTTGGTGACGACAGCAGCACCAGTAGAGCAGGTTATGTAACTACCTGACCTAAGCTGGAAATTCGAGTCGACTGACGAGCTGGGACGGGGAAGCCAGGGTAGTTGCCATAGATACGAAATGCGTAGTAGTTTTTTTTTACGTCAACGAGATAATTTTACACTGTTTTTTATGAGGCTGCCGAGGTTGACTTACTGATGCATATGCGGTTCTGGGTTGAGATTACAGGGCGATGTTAACGGATATATACTGTTTGTTTCTTATGGCAAATTCTTTCCTTTAATTGCGGTAAGACAAAAGAACCGTAAAACCACAGGAGGAAGAAAGGAGGAAGGGGTGGGGGTGTGGGGGAGGGAGGGAGGGAAGAAAGGGGGGAGGGGGGGGGATGAGTGTAACGTTCCTAAGAGCTCGTGTTGTGGTTCACCCCCCCCCCCCCACCACCACCCCACAGTGCAGTGTTGTTGTTGTTGTCGTCGGGGCCCTCACAAGCATGTTACGGTATCGATTGACGGTATAGCTTTACTGTACTGGGATTATCTGTAGATTAGCGGCTTAAGCTCATACCACAAGAATAAACACCCTAAAGTTACCTGAGGGGAGGGGGGGGGGTAGGTTAGTGTTAAGTAAGCTTTGGTTAGGTTAGCTTTGATTACTGTTAAATTAGTTTAGATTAATGTTATGTTTGGTTAGAGTTAAATTTGGTTCGCCTAATGTTAGGTTAGGTTAGTTAGCGTTAAGCTTAGTGAGGATAATTTTAGGTTAAGTTAAAGGTTAGCGTTAAGTTTAGTGAGGTTAAGGTTAGGTTAGGTTATTTAATCTTCCAGGTAAAATATGATAGGGTGTCTAATCTTCAGGTGCTCCGATCATATATAGCGTCTATTCATTATAGGGACGGTCACGGTCCAGTCAAGGGACGATCCTGCTCCGGTCACGGGCCGTCTCGTGGGAAGATGTGCGAATTCTCTTCATCAGAGTTGGCAATGATCGCAATTGCATTAGACGAGGAGGAAGAAGAAAGAAATAAACAAAATCGGAAAAGGAAGAGATTCTGGGTTCATCCGATGTTGCAAGATAGGAAGAGTGAAGGGAATTACATACACTCTAGCCCAGGCCCGTCCTTTAGGGGGGGGGGGGGCGACCGCCCGGGGCCCCGCAGGGCCCCGCACTAGACTCAGTGACCTCGGACACATTACCTGTTGACTGGTTAATTTGACCTGACGGCTTACGCCACCATCGCAACCGTGACCTTACCACCCATAGCGACAGTCCCATGGGGGTTGGTGGGGATGGGTTCCTCTGACCCCATAATCTGACTCCATAATAAACTTTGTAATATTTCTTCAGGGAAAAAATATTATTGAGTGTGCTGGTTATGTTGAAGTGGAATGCTGACTGCCTATTTCCTCCCAGCTTCTTCGTTTAGCCAAGTTATCACTATATCGTGGAGAACTCAAGTCATACAACTCCGCCTTGGTTTTCACTAATTCAATTAACAATTCATCTGAAAAAAGCGACGAAATCGTTTGTGTAATACTGATTTGTAAAGGCTTTTTTTTTAATATGTACTGAATGCAAGTCATTATTGTTTTCTTTAGATAAACTTACCTTTCCCATAATCTCACTTGCATGATTTCCTCTTCATTGGATATGTTTCATAACCCCGAACCAAAGAAAACACGATCAAACTCAGAACCGACCGAAGCAAGACTGGAGCGAGCATGTGTTCAATCCACGCTGGTCCGGCATGGGCAAGAGCGCTCACGGCACTGTCCCGCTCAGGTAAAAATAACTTTCAACGGATTATCACTTGAGCGTGAGTGTGGACCTTGACTTGACCGTGAGTGCAAGTGTGGACGCTCCCATTAACATGCATGTAATAATATTTGACTGGACCATGACCGTCCCTATAGTCACGTGAATAGAGCCTAATGTCTCACGCTTACCTAACACCAGACACCAGCTCTTGTTATTATCACCACGAGTTTGTGACATCTGTTTTATTCTTTCATGTTTATCTTCATTTCCATGTACCAGAAAAAATAAATATACTAAGGTGTTCTTGAAGACATAATACAGTATTTACCTCCTCCTTCATCTTTACACTGTTGGTAAAATTGATGATTACATTTGTATGGTAAATAGATTGGGTTTTTTTTTGGGGGGGTAACATTTCCATCCATTCACTTACGCTAGCTTTGGTAAGATTTTGGTCAACATAATGTAGAAGTGATTGTGTGTGTGTGAATTGTAAGTTTTAGTCTCATTTACAACCACACACACACACACACACCTGTAATACGATAATTAATTTATAGTCATATTCGTTAAATTCAGAAATTCCAATAAATAAACTTTTTTTTTTAACAAAGGAAATCGCAAAGTGGAGTAATACGTATTATCGGAACTGTATCAGATATAATAACACACAGACACACAACTGGAACTAGTAATGTGTGTTTGTACGTGAAGAAGACCCAGGAGTGAGTCAAGGAGAGGAAGAAGTGCAGGAGGTGGCAGGTGTGAGTGTGGACTAGGCTATCGTGCCGGCCACAAGTTCCAGCGGCTCTGAATAGCTCTCTCTCTCTCTCTCCTGTCGTGTAGTAGTATTCACATATACTCGTCACTACTACTACTACTACTACTACTACTACTGCTGCTGCTACGACTGCTGCTACTGTACCTACACCAATGAACATAAGAACATAAGAAACATAAGAAAATAAGGAGTCTGCAATGGCAATAAGTCTTCATGTTAAGGATTTCAGTTTCGAGAACCGGACCCCAACACTACACGTGAGTATGAGTTGTGTTTCTTTTCGTGGTTAGGTTTGGTTTATCATATGTCGGGTGTCTGATTCACTTGCCCCCAGTTGGTTGTTGCTCAGGTCATAATGTTATGATTGTGTGTTGTTGGAGAGTTTCTTCTGTCCTGAGATTCGGATTTTTTCTTCTCTGGAATCTGGAAATATGAACGAAAAATAAAGATACAGAGTGGAGTTTCAATTTAACAGCATGTCTTAGGATAATGGGAACAATAATTAATACAGCCTGTAAAATTCTACTTATTTTACTGAGTAATATGTTCATATACAGTAGTATAGCATAGACCTTTGACAGAATTACAAGAGACAGCTTTTACGGTCTGGCAAAAAAAATACCTTTAATGCACTAAATATACCGGTAATAATCTTTCATTCTTTTAAATCAACTTAGGAAATATGAATGCATAAGATTCATAATGAAACGGAATTGTTAATCTTTCTTACTTTTCAAACAACCTTTAAGACCCGCCATGTCTTGCTAGTCTTAACTTGTTAGTAATTTAGCATCATGCGTATTTTACTTTATTAATTTATTTATTGATGCAGTATATGTGCTAATTTGGGTTGCTTAGAGAAGGATTATTAAAATGTGGTAAATTCCGGGATTTTCAAAAATTTTCCTGAGATTAATTAATTTATTTATTGGCCGGGATCCCTGGACAGACGCCCCAGTTGGTATAAGGTACAGTAAATTGGGCCTGGCCAGACGTTGCTTGGGCCGTTAATAACAAAGTGTAAACCCTTGTTGTT